GCATGTGGTGCTGGGGGATTGAACCGCGGTCGCTGTACTTTGCTAAGCTTGTTCTAAGTAGGTGCTTTAGACCACTGAGCCATCTCACCAGCCCCTACTAAATATTTTCAAATTAAAACTTAACTGCTTATTAAAAATAGAAGTCAGCTTCTCTTTCTTATGCATATTAGAGCTCTTACTACATTGCCTGGCCCTATTGTCAGCAGGAAACAATGAGATAGATTATTTACTTACAAGTAATGTTCAAGCTGTCTTCTACAAGTTTTGTTTAAAAAAAAAGGGATCCTTTAAATTGTGAACAGTGGGGGCCGGGGAGATGGCTCAGGAGAATAAGCACTTCCCCGGCAAGCGCAAGGGCCTGAGTTCAATTCCCGGTTCTGGGAAAAAAAAAAAAAATTGCAAACAGTGGTTCCAAGTGGCACTGCTGGGAAGAGGGTACAAATTGAGATCAGGGAGGCCCTGCACTCCCATCCTAGGCTGACTCAGATCGGCCTCTGCAAGACAGGTTCAGCCACAGAGGCCTGCGTTCCTGGTGCTAAGTAGGTGGGTCGTGACGACATGCCGTGGCTCTAGTACTGGCTCTGTGCGTGGCTGGCTTTACAAGTTCTTAAGGCTCAAGATAGTATGTGTTTAAAATCTGGGTAAGAACAAAGCATCTGGTGGTCAGAGCCAGAGCAACAGAGGCACACACAGTGGCTGCACGCAGAGGCAAGCACATGAGCCTGTTCAGCTATAGGAAATAACCACACCGGGGGCAGGGGAGGAAAAAAGGGACTTTCTTTTCTCCAAGGAAGAAATTTTAAAGGTATAGCTGCTGATGGAACGTTTCCACCACCAGATCAGCCACCCTGCCAGAATACCATGTTCTTATCTCAGTGAGTGGGTGCACTGGGAAGTCTGTAGAGGAGAAGCAGCCCAGGCATTGGTTAATACTTCCAATGGAGGGGCAGGGGAGATGGCTCAGTGGAATAAGCACTTCCCTAGCAAGTGCAAGGGTCTGAGTTCAACCCCCCAGTTCCGCAAAAAAAAAAAAAAAAAAAAAAAAAAACTTCCGAGGGAAGTGTCATAGACTGGAGTCCTTATGGCTCTGCCTGGACGGTGGAAGGGAAGGAGTTAAGATGGAAACCGAATGGCAGTGATGAGGGTTACACTAGCACTAACAATGTCAATGATATGTGGAGAAGGAATGTCCCCTAGTGTCCCTCATGCTTCTGGGGGACCAATTCAACATCATCTTTGGAAATTAGTTACCTCTTTAAAACAAATGTCAGTATGGAAAAGTTACGTATGGAAGAATCAATCCTCCTACAATTTACATCTAAAATTTAAAAGGAACACAACACATTTTGCTCAGGCATGTATTCACCTCCCGTCCCTGATGCTTGCAGGACCTAATTATTGGAATCCTTCTAACCCTACCGTCACATGTCACAATTGAGATATATATATTCTTCTGTTAGCCTTAATTTTTCCAGGGATAGCATTTATATTCTCAGGGCAAGGACCAGCATTTGCTGGAGGTGTTAAAGAAGAGAACAAAAAGAATGATTGAACTCATTCTTTTTGATAGCCATAATTTCAGGAATAACAGCAGTCACAGCCACAGCTGCTACAGCCGGAGTAGCATTGAGCCAAGGGGTACAAACTGTTCACTTTGTGCAGCAGGGGCACAAGGACTCAGAACAGTTACGGACTTCAAATGGGGATGGTAGAGATAGGTTAATAAATAAAACAAATACAGTACAAAGTTAATGATGGGGGGCCTGCCCCTTAGCTCAGCTCTTTAAGTGGCTGCTTCCACAAAGCAGTCAGGCTCAGGTTGCTGTGGTTCCATCCCCAGAACTCAAGCCAGCCAAACCTGCCCTGGAGGCATTTGGAGAAAAAAAAAAATCTTTCTGCCATTTTTTGTTGTTGTTGTTTCTCAATAAAATTATGGGAAAAAAATAAAGAGAATAAAAAAAAAGAAAATTAAAGGTCTAGGGGTGTGACTCAGAGCTAAGGCCCTGCATTCAGTGCTTAATAAAACAGGCACCAAAAACAAGGCCAGATGTGGTGGCACAAAGGTATAATTTTAGCGCTGAAGGAGGCTGAAGCTCAATGGCTACAAGTTTGAGTCTACCCTATCTCAAAGTTAAGAATATGAAGGGTTTAAGATGTGGTTCCATGGTAATGGGTTCTGAGTTCAAATCCTATTATTGTAAATATGTATATACATAATTTTTTAAAAAGAAAGAAAAGAATAAAAATAGGGGCCAGGGAGATAGCTCAGTTGAATCAGTGCTTTCCTGGCAAGCGCAAGAGCCTGAGTTCAATCCCTGGCTCTGCAAAACAAAAAAAAGAAAAAAAAAAATATAATAGAGCAGTGCTTGTCTGAATTATGAGGTCAGTGTCCAGGAGGATGGCGCAACGAGCACTTGATGACCGTTCCCTCCCTGGACTCTGGGCCCAGATCAACAATTCAGACTGTCCCCTGAGCATGCCCTGCTGCTGTCTCACTCCAGTTCTTCTCAGTTCCTGACCAAAGCACAGCCATTAGAGGTCATTTCGGCTTTCAAGTCTTGGGCCACATGGGATTGTGTGTGTCCCTTATCAGAAGTGACAGCACAGATTTCTGGGTGACCTAGGGGGTCTTGACACCCTAACTGCCCCCATGCTCCCTCCAGGACCCTGTGGGCTAAAGAATCCTCCAAAAGGGGCTCACCGAGCTCCAGGCAGCCGAGGACTCCCAGGACAAGCCCCATGGTGTGGTAGAGAGGCAGGACGTTGTAGACCACATCATCAGCTGTTGCCCCACACAAGGTCAGCATCTTGCTCACCTGCAGCACTCGCTCATGTGTGAGGATGGCTGGCTTTGGGAGCCCTGGAGGAAGCCATGGGAAGGGGTGTCAGGGAGCAGCAGCCAGTCTCCTAGGCTTGGCTGTCAAGTAGAAAGGGTCTACAGGGTCTCGGACTCGTAATGATCTGCCTGTTTACAGCCTCCCAAGAGCTGGGATTACAGGCATGCGCCACTGTGCCCAGTCTCAACTGCTGTTCCAGGGGTGGAGCGGGCAGGGCAGGCTCGGGGATTAAAACGCCAGCCCCTGCACCTGCTTGTAGGCGCTTTAATCTGCTGAGCTATTTGGGGGGCCCTCAAGCAGTGGATTTGAGACTGAATTCCAATAGGCAGTGAGAGACCAGACCAAAGGTTACTGAGAATGTCAGTGCTGTGTTTACCACACAGAGGGAGATGCACTGAGCACTCACAGGACACAGGGCTTGGCTTGGGAGTTGGGGCAGGTGCCAAGAATGGAGGGCAGAGGCTGGGCGAGGGCTCCCTCACCTGTGGTCCCCGAGGTGTAGATGAACAGAGCAGGACTTTGCCGCCTGATCACTGCACGTAGGTGAGCAGGCACTGGGTCAGAGGGTGCAGCATCCAGGGCGGCCCCCAGGGCCCGCACACCAGGCGTGGCAGAGGTGTGGCTGAGGTAGAAGCAGTGAATGTGTGCATCCTGTAGCTTGGGCAGGACCTCCTCCAGGGTGTCCCTGAGGTCTAGGATCAAGGGCGGACCGAGACAGAGTTCTCTGGTCACAGGGAAGACCCAAGATCCAGAGACAAGGAACACTAGCAGAGAAAAGCTTTGTCATTCTGGGTATACAGAGTCTCACTGAAGCCTCATTCTGGATTAGAAGGAGCACTGCTGGTTGGTGTCCAGCACTGGTCAGTGCGGCTGACACTGAGACTCAGGTCATGCTCCCATTGCAGTAAATATTTGCAGTGATGACAATGGGGCCTGTAACATTCTGCCTAACACTGACTGAAAAATGCCTTTCAGCACTAGAAATGAAAGATCAAGGAATGATACAGAATCTAGGTCATATGCCAAAATACCAATACTACGCACAATTCAAATTCTAGGTTCCAAAAGTGTATTGGTCAGGGAGATGGCTCAGTAGAATAAGCACTTGCCTGGCAAATGCAAGGGCCTGAGTTCAATCCCCGGTTCCACAAAAAAAAAAA